TTGATCAACTAGTCTTTCCATCGAAAATGCGGATGTTTTTAGCGCGTTTCCCATCAGCATGTACCGAATCAAACACCTTTTTAGCCGGAAAATTTTCTTCCAATTCCACAACATAAGCAGACCAGCAAAATCGCTGAATTTTTATGTGGATGACTATGTCGAAGTGGCGGTGCAGCTCATTCAGCTCATTGTTTCATCTAATTCGATACTCATTGCCAACGCACAGAGAACTATAGATCTTCCAAACACTTTTCCTCTTTAATGCTTTCAAAGCTTTCTCATCACTATTACCAATTATCCAAGTTTTTGCAGCACACAGCAAGTCAGGTATGATAAAAGACTTGTTGAGCTTGTCTCTTTTTAAATATATAGCAAATAAAATCTATAATAGAATCATTTAACTACTTGGGTATTATTTCAATAATCCAATTAAGTCTGATTTAATAATGCTGAAATAATTTTTAAGGTCTTAAAGTAAAGGTTAAATATTAAATAAATGAACAAATATAAACAAGTATTTCTTCCACTAAACAAATCGTATTAAAAAATACTGAGGATCACGGGCTGTAGTAAACCTAAAATTTGAATGTGATTGAATGTATTTTTTTTGGATGAGAAATATGAAAAAATTGAACAAAAAAAATTTCGTTGAAAAACTTAAAAATAATATTGCATCATGATAATAGCACCATCTATTGGATACTAAACTGTCATATCTTTTAACCGGGAACCAATCATACACATTCACAAATTGATTGAAATCAGTTGGACCGTTTCAGAGTTTATCGTTTACGAACATAGTGACATGAGATTTATATACGAGGGCTGCAGTCAATTAGGAAAAATGGTTTTATTGTTTTCCAAACTATTCTCCATGATGATCAATACATTTTTACATTCGATTGAACCATTTTGAAACAGTTTTGTCAATTTTAAAATCTTTTGGCATCTCCAAAACCAGGGCTGCAAAATGTCTCAACGAACTATTTCTTTTTTTTCAAAGTTTTCGAAGAATTCATTGGATGTCAAGTCGGGATTGTGATGTAATTAGACCCATGTATTAATTTATTGGGGTATTTATGTATTGTATTGACCAATTCGACATTTTGAGTGCTCAAAAATTTTTTTGTTTGAGCTGATGTGCTGGAGTTTGCATTGTGTGTTGGATGATCTTCCTTTGACGGTTGGTTTTGCTAAATTTTTCGAAAAGTTCTGGAAAACAAATGGTTATGTAGCACTCAGAATTTACTGTTCTACGTTGTTTAAATGGCACAGTTCCGCCATGACCGGCTTTTCTGAAAAAACAAGCGATCATTTACTTAGAATTGCTCGGTCCGTGAATAAATTTTGTCGGATTCTTTTCACTTTGGAAGTGATAATTATACAATCCATGATAATGGTATAAATCCATGATAAGTCATCTGAGACTATGTCAAAGACGTATTTTGAACTATCTCGGACGTATTTTTTCAGCATTTTCTTGCACCAATCAACACGTGTCGTATTTTGAGCGATTTTTAAATTATGCAGAATCCAACGAGAACAATTCTTTCTGACAATTTTTTTTTAATTTGTATGTATAATTTCATGTATGCTAGTCTTACCAATGCATCTATGATGTTCTTCAGACGCTTATATCTCCCGGTATGTAACGTGTCGATCCATCTCAATCATTTATCGCACTGCATTCATGTTTTGTGGTACAACAGCCATTCTTAGAGGACCTTCATGAAATTCGTCACCGACGACAACGCTCTAACTCTTTGAACCAGTGTTTTACAATCGCTAGATGTAGAGTTTCATCACATAATGTCGAACTAAAATAATCGATGCATTCTTTTTTATTACATTGCTACCCCTAAATTAATAATAAATCATTTACATTTTGCGTTAAATCTGTAATTTTTGGGAATTTTGTTAAGATATAGGTTTAGCAAACGTTTCGATTATTATTCTATCTCGAGTATTATCCTATTCTGCTTATACATTGTGACCGAAAAGTTTTCGGGAAATTTTAAATAAAACGCAAAATTCTTAATCTTCATCAATATTTATTTTATCTCCTTCAAATATCTATTTAGAGCGATACAACATGCCAACGTTCTTCCAATCATCAAAACATTTTTTATAGGCGCTTTCCGGTATGGCTTTGAGTTCCCTCTGCGAATTCTGTTTTACGTCTTCTATGGATTCAAAACGCGTTCCTCTGAGTGGTAATTTGAGGTTGGGAAACAGGAAAAAGTCACACGGTGCAAGATCAGGTGAATACGGTGGCTGTTCGATGGTATTTATTGAATGTTTGGCCTTAAAATCGTTGATAATGTTGAACAAATTGAGGTGAATCGGAACAAGCCGGGCGTTGACACGTCGCATACACAAATTGTCCACCAAAATCAAACGAGCCATCTCACGACCGATGCCTAGCTCTCGTGCTATCTCTCTAACACTCACATGAGGATTTTTGAACACGATTTCCTTTGCCTTTTCAATGTTTTCGTCGGTGGTAGAGGTCGAAGGTCGTCCAGAACGCGGCATGTCTTCGACGGTCGTACGACAGTCCTGAAAGGCTTTGTACCACTCATAAACTTGAGTTTTCGATAAAACTGATTCCCCATAAGCCTTTTGTAGCATTCGCAACGATTCTGCACACGAAATTTCGTTCGAAAAACAAAATTTGATGCAAACTCTTTGTTCAATATTTTTTTCCATTGTTTTTTTCGCAACGCACTACTGAGGTGAACTGGTTTCAACAGCTGCCGTAAACGAACTGTCCGACAGATCGCGCTCATTTTTGCATAGTAATTAAGGACAGTGCTGCCAAACTACATAAACTTAAAATATCGAAAAATATACAGCGCGCGAATTTTAAATGAGAATTTCCGAAAACTTTCGGTCACAATGTAAATT